CTGCGTTACAATGGTTATGGATACCTCACTGGAAAAACTTATATTGCGGGCCAATCATGCTAGAGGGATCTATTGGGTTGCATAGAGTTAAAACCAACTTGATGACCCCCCCCCCCCACCTCCGATTAAAGAGGGGGGGGGGGAGGGGGGTGGGGGTGTGGGAAAAAGGGGGGGGGGGGTCATCAAGTTGGTTTTAACTCTATGCAACCACATAGATCTCTCTAGCATGATCTGCCCGCAACATCAGATTTTCCAGTGATGTATCCATCACCACTGTAATCCAGTCCATCAACCTTGGTGTTGGTTGTCTCCTTCTTCTCTTTCCTTCCACCTTTCTCAGTATCATGGACTTATAAAGAAAGCTAGGTCTTCTCATAATGTACCCAAAATATAATATTTTGAGCCTGGTCATTTGTGCCTTGAGTGAGAACTCTGAGTCGACTTGTTCTATGATCAGATCATACTATTAAATAATATACAGGAAGCTTTTAAAAATGGCTCTTTAAATGTGCATCTGTAAAAGATGGGAGATCTACCTGAGTTGAAATGAATCTGGCTGCTTGGTGTTATGTCATGGTTTTCTGATGATGGTGTTAATGTCGTCATTGTGGTTATGATTGTTGTTATATAAATGTATTATACTATTTTATGTTGTAAGCTGCTTAGAGACATATGATCGAAGCAGCATACAAACATAATAAATAAATAAATAAATAAATAAATAAATAAATAAATAAATAAACAAACAAACAAACTTTTAAATCCCTCAGAACAAGAATGATTTTTTTCAACTGTACATCCAACTTGTTCTTGTTTAGATTATTATTTAGTATCTGTCCCCTTAGTTGAATGGAGCAATTAATGTAATGTGGGATGTATCACTACATCTGATTTTGCCAGAGTAACACTATCAATTATTATAATCAGGAGTTATTCTATTTTTGTATAAAACAGATGCACAAGAATTTGAAGATTTTTAAAATAAACCTAAACAGACATTCTATACCTTAATAGAAAATGTGACAGAAAATGTTTGGGGCACATTTAAGGCATATATGTCTGGTTATATTATTGCTAATTCTTCATGGAAAAAGAAAACATAAGACAAGAAAATGTTGGGGGGGAAAGTGAGGTGATTTTTAAGTATGTGCTGGTTAATGACCACAATAAAGTCTTTCAGACTTTGGAGTACACATGCAAGAAGGCCCACATATGAATTAACTAAAGTTTTATGAGTACCAACTAGGAAAATTTCCTCTATGTATCTGATGCAGAATATCACTGTGAACATGAAGTAACCTGTGTGTCCTCCTTCCTCCTTTTCCATATATGCAGTCTGTGCAAAACAGTTTCTCCAGGTCCTGCTGTGATGGAATGGAATTATGAAGGCCAGGCTCAGGGAGATAAGCATTTTCTTAGCTCAC